AATGTGCGGACCTCTTTACCGCTGACTCCGGAAAGCCGGCCCACTTTACCGCGGTAGGAGAACAGTGAGGGCGAGCCGCAAGAAATGCGCTCCACTTCTGCTGAGGAGAGAGCCCACCAAGCCCATCACTGTGTCACTCACTACATGAGTAAAAATATGCAAGCCTCCTTTTTTGGGCTGGACAGTGCAGCTCGGTAGTGGCGTGAGTCTCTAGAAAGCGTTACTCCGTATCAAGGAAATACATGCTCATTTCATGTGACGGAAGGGCTGTTGGGGGGGGGGGGGGGAACCCCTGGCTTATAGGATATTTTAGAATGGTGTCCAGAAAGGCTTTGGTCGGCACTGGAGATAAGGGAGGAAGTCACGTTGCGAAATGGGATGCGCCCCATATCTTCATCGCGATTGGCTAGTTTGAGGGTGTGTATCCAAGTTCTATCTTCTTCAACCCCTTACGCCAGCGTAAACATGGCAAACATAAAGAACACACATTTGAATAATTATTAATGTGCGCAAACAACAAAATAAACAGACTTTTAACCCAATTCTGTCGCGATTTGGGGACGGTTTCCATGACAACCCCTCCCTGCCTCTCATCCTGCCGACAAGCTCCCACACGTGACGCGAGGGGAGGATGCTCTGTAACCACTTTCTGACCCTGTGTCTTTGGCCTGTGCAGTGTCCACAAGCGATGCAATGTCAGTCAGTACACGCACATGCTCATGAGCCGGGGAAATACGCGGGAATACTAACCTGTGTCAAATTTTACACACCAAAAAAATTATAATTACGGAAAATATCAAACAGAAATGCGCCATCGTAGCTCTGAACGCAAATCAACACGTCTTACCTCATCGTGAGCTGCTACTTTGGATAATGGGCACGGTGAATGCTTGTCTGGACGTCTTCGTGTAGGCGCTGGTTGTAAAGTCCGAGTTCTGGCGATGCTTTTGAATAGAAAAGGGGCGACAGGGTATGGGGGGAGATGCTACACGAATGGCCACAGTTTATTCGGGGATATAAAAGACAGCGTGTTTTGTCAAAGAGATTTGCTCACAGCCATTTTGAAAGGTAGGAGCATCTTTGGTCATCTTCACGCCGAGGGTCCGCAGGTGGTGAGGCCGGGAGGAGAGGCTGGGAGCTGGGCGTGAGGTGCCATCTTTTCAGCTGGAGCGAGATGAGGGATCATGAGGCTGAGGCGTGCACTGCTGGAGTCACCTGCACAACAGCGCCCTCGGTGGTCTGAAGGGGTCATTGCAGTCAGAATCGGATGATACAGATGAAACTCGAAAAATGAAGGGTGCCATTTACTTTTTATGGACTGTAAGTCATAATAATAAAACAAACACAACAAAGGCTTGATATATGTTACTTTGCATGTAATAAGTTTATATCATATATTGGAGTTTCACCTTTTGGGCCAAGTTCTAGTACTATCAAAGGCGTAAAGGAATACCTGTTTTTGGTACTTAAAGCTGGGGAACCTAACTCTTTTGATCCCTACAGAGTAATGTTGCTTGTCCTCTAAAAAAAATATACTAAAAATAAAATTGTGTGAACAAATCCAATTATGTCTAATTTTGAGGGTGATCCTCTCTTTTCCCCTGTTTGCCTTCAAAAGCTAATTTAAAGTGACAGAGTACAGAAAACATGCAAGTGTAAACTAGTGATAGAAACTGTTTTAGAGCAAGGAAGTAGTTAAATTGATTGTAAAACATGGTTTAATTTACCCCAGTTTAAAGTAAACGTACAGAAAACCAACTATGGTATAAGTATTGTCTGGTAAAAGTAAGAATAATACAATTATATAGTTTATAGGTCTGGACTATTGTCTGAAGTCTGGACTTTAGTCTGTGAAATAGGCCACAACTTGGACGTCTGCTCCTGTGGGGCTGGGACCACTGCTGCCCTCTAGCGGACACATTTAGACCCACATCACGGCTCTGACAGGACACTGGATACAGTAGGCTGGAGACTGGACTGAGGAAACTCGTACTGATAACAGATTATATCAAAAATGATCTAATAGATGAGATGTCCATGGGTAAAATAATGCATTTCCTATCAGTATTAATAGAAGGAAGATGATTACAATTGTATTGGTTGATGTAATAGGGAATGTATTTGTATTATAGTAACATAATACATATGTGTATATTTTGTGTCTTAACTGTTGATTCTCTGATCTGTGTTGGTGATTTCATTGGTTTTGTTAAGTCCTCTGAGATGACCTCTGTCGTGATTTAGGGCTATACAAGAATAAGTTGTTGTTGTTTTAAAACAGTATCATAATTCAATCAGAAAGCTTTGTCTGTGAAACCCTTACTCACCACCAGAGGGCCCACTCTCATATATATCATGTGATTAAATTATTATATTCTGAACAAGTATTAGTGATTTCTGCTACAGAGAGACACGGAAGGAAGATTATAAACATTTATACGCTGATGCCTGTCCTACTGTATTCCCTGAGTGTTTCAATCAAGGTACCTTCACCGTGACTCAGGAGGAAGTCAGGCGTGTCTTGTCCAGGACCACAGTCCGGAAAGCCCCAGGCCCGGACGGCATCCCTGCTCGTGTCCTGAAACTGTGCTCTGAGCAACTTGCCCCTGTGCTAACAGACATTTTCAACCTGTCGCTAAGGAACTGTACTGTGCCGAACTGCTTTAAAGAGTCGACCATCATTCCAGTTCCTAAGAAAACTCCTGTGACATGCCTGAATGACTATCGTCCTGTGGCCCTCACGTCTGTTCTTATGAAAACTTTTGAGCGGCTTGTGCTGGACTTCATTAAGAGCCAGATCCCTGTGAGTGTTGACCCGCTCCAGTTTGCTTACAGACAGAACAGGAGTGTGGAGGATGCCATCTCCTTTGCTCTGAACTCTGTCTACAGTCACTTGGACACTAGTAAATCTGTCGCGAGAATGCTTTTCATCGATTATAGCTCTGCTTTTAACTGCCTTGTCCCAGGTAAACTGATTGAAAAGCTCATGTCTCTCGGTTTAAGTGTTGCCATGTGTAAATGGATTTTTAGCTTTTTAACTGACAGATCTCAGAGAGTAAAAATCAACGACTGTTTTTCTGATGTTGTTTCTGTTCTCCTCAGGGATGTATTTTGAGTCCTTTGCTTTTTACTTTGTACACTCACGATTGTGTTTCCTCCTCTGACTCAAACTTGATCATCAAATATGCTGATGACACCACCATCATCGGTCTCATCAGTGACAATGATGAATCCTCTTATAGAGCAGAGATACAAAATGTGGTTCAGTGGAGTCAAACTAACAACCTCCAGTTGAACGCATCCAAAACATGTGAACTGGTCTACGACTTCAGTCGCAATAGTTCTCATTTGTCTGTCGTAATCGACAACTCCCAGGTGCAGATCGTAGAGGAGTGCAAGTTTCTGGGTTTAACTCTGTCTAACGACCTGAAATGGGTTAAAAACACTGACCGAGTCGTTAAGAAAGCTCGTCAGCGTCTCTACTTTCTGCGTAAACTTAGAGAATTTACCACTAACTCTAAAATTCTGCTTAACTTTTATCGCAGCACCATTGAGAGTTTACTTGTTGGTTCTGTGTCTGTGTGGTTTGGAAACATCACAGATAAAGAAAAGAGAGCTTTAAACAAGGTGCTCCGCTCTGCAAAGAGGACCGTGGGCTGTGAGCTTCCTGTTCTGGAGGTTCTTTATAAATCCAGACTTTTAAACAAAGCTCTTAGGATTGTCAATGACTCTGCTGGCCACCCTGGGAAAGCCATGTTCCAGCTTCTTCCCTCTGGCAGAAGATATCGTTCCCTGAGATGCAGGACATCTCGTTACGCTAACAGTTTTTATCCACAGGCTGTTATCAGTGTGAACAGAGCACTTTAATGATTTGCACTTGTTTTGAAACTGTTTTAGTCGATCGATTTCACAGTGACATTTGTTTACTGTTTTATTTGTTTTATTTCTGTCTTTTATTGTCTGTATTTGTCTGTGCACACTGGAGACTTTTGCTAATGTATTCCAATGTGTTTTTTTTTACTGCAAATGGCAAATAAACTGAATCTGAATCTGAATTTATTTGTATGTCAATGGAAAGAAAAAGTTAAAAGCAACAGTAAACCAACAGAGAAATGACAGCGGAAAAAAAACATAAAAACAGAACATGAAGTGGAAGAAGGACACATGACTAACAAGTATAAACTAGACAAGATGAACAGATATAAAAGCACAGTATATGCACACGACAGCAGCGTCTAACACACTCAAGATACAACGTCAAACAAGCAGTGTTTAAGTAGCACAGCGTTAACCAGGATTTGCTTCACATTAGAACTATTTCCAATGGGACCAACATGTCGAAGGAGAGAGCCAACACAATTACTTCAGAAAAATACAATTTAGAAACATTAAATAGGACTTTGGCTGATTAAATAAATAAATCCATGATGTGAAAGCGGTGAAAGCGTTGGACACACTTTGCCAGCAAAGTGGACGATTTAGGCTTTAGGAAACCTGAGAGGCACAACCATTCCAATAAGTGTAATGTTTGTAATCATACATCATTTTACACTGTTAAAAATGACATGTATTTTTTTTAGTTTGATTGTTGCATGCAAAGTTATCATTGAATTGGTAGACATAGACTTAAAGCTGGGGTACGTAACTTTCAAACCACAAACATAATACAAAATAAAACCTGTAACTTGTTCAATGCTTTGGTTCTATCACTAGTTTTGGCCTCTGTCACCTCTTTAGATCAGCTTTTCCAGATAGAAAAGAGGAAACATTTTCACTCAGCTCTCAGCCTAAAGCGTCAAATGCAAAAGATAACATGTTTTTCAATAAGATGACGGCCGCATGTAGCGGTCTGATTTTTTTTTTACAATATTCTATTTTTAGCAGACAAAAAAGTTAGATACCTCAGCTTTACTGTAAGTAAGAGTGAATTTAGCTGTTATTGATTCAAGACCAGAATGTATTATAATCTCAATCTCATTCGCACTTGTCTCACACCCGCGTTAGTAGCAGATCTGGAAGTACTGGCTGGGCGACTTGACTGGACTCTGGTAGCTGGACTTCTCCTGGGCGTGGCTGACCGTGGTGCTGCTCTTTTGCAGGTTTAAGGTGAATTTCGGGTTGGATTTCTTCTTCCCGTCCTTGGCGCTGTTGGAGCCTCTTCCTTTGGGCAGGTTTGGAGGCTTGGTGGTGGTGGTGGATTGGTTCTTGGATTGGGCACTCACAGCAGTCGGGGTCTGGGCGTCCTCAGAACACCCAGTCCTTTTTGCATGCGGGCTCAGATAGATCTGCATCGTCACTGCGTCCACAGGGGGAGGTGAGGGAGGAGAGCGTGGGGAGAGTGCGGGTTCAAGGAGAGGAGTGGGGATTTTTAAGATTTAAGAAGATTTAGGAACAGGAGAGGGACACATGTCATGGTGAGAATTGGGAAAACGAAAAACAGTCATAAAATAACAGCTCAAACAGCATAACATGATGTATTATTTGAGGTCATGATGTTGAAAATAAGATCCCAAATAACATCTCTAAAACCTCACCTCTAACCCATACCCTGTTTATCGTTTTGGATGAGTGGGAGGCATTAATTCATGTATTTATTTTTCTCTGCTGCTTTGCTCTGGCAATGTTTTATCAAATTTATCAAATTAATTACAAAAAAGGATCGTCCGAATGAACTGTTCCTATCTCTATCCTTAGCCTGAAATGTGAATATTTATCATTGCGCGGAATGTAATACCAAGATTTTAGTGGTGAGGCCCAGTGATGTGAAAGTACTTCTGAAGTAGAAATTAATAATAATAATGCATCGGTTTTTTAGACACTCAAAGACGCTTTACATGTCATTATTCTTTCCCTCCAAACACGGTGGTGATAAACTACTACTGTAGCCACAGCTGCCCTGGGGCACACTGACAGAAGAGAGGCAACCAGTATGTGCCATCGGCCCCTCTGACCACCACCAACCATTCACACACACACCAGACTCATTCTAGGCAATGGGGGTGAAGTGTCTTGCCTAAGGACACAACGACAGCAGACAGTGGGAGTCGATGGTGAAGGTCAGGCTCAAACCCACGACCCTCTGGCTCAAAGGCCAATGCTCTACCAACTGAGCTACTGCCGAAATTGTATGAGTGAACATGCAATCACTGTATGAAAAAGGTAGTAAGAGATTTCTAGAATGTGCCAACACTGCCATCTAGTGGAAGGAGTGGGGTATTACATTCTCAGTGTTGGGGCGTATACCTGGTAAAATTCTAAAAATGTGTGCTATTTGGTTTCAGAAAGGGAAAACCTGCTCTTAAACATTGTCAATGGACAACCCAGCACTATAGGAGGATCTTTGTTGACACATTTGTGCACGTGTGCAAGCAGCCTGGATGAGGTTTAGACGGAAGCTTAAAAAGTGGATTGGCGCCAAAACTCAAAGTAGTTCAAAGCCCATATGACCCTGCAGTGTCCTGGTCAAACAATAGAGTGAATGACAGAAATAAATGAACGTTTTTGGACAATATTGTACATTTTCACCTGTAAATACTGAAATTTCTTGTCAAAAAAATATAAATATGATGAGACATGTTGCTCTATTCATCTCTGCCATTCTTGATCTGAGTTTTTTGTTTCTGTTTAAATATAATATCATTTCAGTGTGCTGTTGGGGGTGGACACATGCCGAGGACAATACCTTCTCCTTCATCCGTTCGTACCTTTGCAGTGCGTGACTCTCCTTGTCCCTGTAACACAGAAGCACCGACAGATAAACACTGTTATTCCTCTATATCTGATCTGCTGCTCCAGTTTGACAGAGCGAAAGCCGGACCACAGCTCACAAATCTCACGGCATCAATAAAACGTCTTTTGTGAGAGAAATGGAGGCTCTTACCGAGAGTTACGGCGGCCTCTTTGGGTTTAGTGCTGCAGCAACAGAAAGATAGAAAGGAAGATAGAAGGAGATGAGTGACGTGTGTAGAGACTTATATACTGCACAAGAAAGGACAACATGAGAAATACTGTACACATTATTGTTATTATACAAATGGTGATGATCCAGTTCAACAACATCTATGGACATTTATCAACATTTACCGACATTAGTCATCTGCCCCTTATGGACTAATGGCTTTATGAGTTTTTTATCATTACATTTCTTCTTCATCTGTGTTGGAGAATTCAACTGTTGTGTAAAGTCCTCCAAGACTAACTACTGTTGTGATTTAGGGCGATACAAGAAGACATTGAAAGAAACCTATTTGAGGGGGACCTTCTTCAGCAGGATTCCAACTATTTTGAATGTCATACTGTCATTCTGTGGATGGATGGTTGAACATTACAAATTAATGGTTTGTTTTCATGTGACATCACAACATTTCAAAGAGACTCTAGTTTAAAAAGGTGGTGATGGGCGGCTGCAAAATCCATCTCTGTAATTCCTGGGCTAATCCAAAAACGGGTCCCAAAGTTCCACATCTTCTTTGTAAGTGCATATAATTATTAGCTCATTAAAGTGTCCAGATGTGGTGACAATATTTAAAAATCTTATTCTTGGTGTTGATCAGTAGAAAATATGTTTCAGAAACAAACTAGTCACTAACCAATACTGGCTTGTTTCCCATGGGCTTTTATTGGCACCTGCTGAAATACTGAAAAGGAATAGATGGCCTCCCAAACAGACCTCTCTCCTTTGTCGTCCCAGCAGGTGTATGCCCATTCATAATCTCGGGTACAGCGCCCAAACATACATGCACGCCCACACACACACATGCCTCCCACCACACACACACACACACACACACAGAGGTGCTCTCATGAACCCGCCCACGCTCAAGCACTCATGCACGGCCACCATACATTACTCCTCCACCAGCCAAACATGCATTCATTCCCAGAGTGCCCAAACGTGACTCTTACAGCAGGGTTTGAACCATAGACTGTTTGAACACTTTCCCATTGACTTTAAGTGAATGTATGGATGGATGGATGTGTTGGTTGGTTGATGGATGGATGGATGGATGTGTTGGTTGGTTGATGGATGGATGGATGGATGGATGTGTTGGTTGGTTGATGGATGGATGGATGGATGGATGGATGGATGTGTTGGTTGGTTGATGGATGGATGGATGGATGGATGGATGGATGGATGGATGGATGTATGTGTTGGTTGGTTGGTGAATGCATGGATGGATGTGTTGGTTGGTTGGTTGGTGGGTGGATGGATGGATGGATTGATGATGTGTTGGTTGGTGGGTGGATGGATGGATGGATGGATGTGTTGGTTGGTTGATGGATGGATGGATGGATGGATGTGTTGGTTGGTTGGTTGGTGGGTGGATGGATGGATGGATTGATGGATGTGTTTGTTGGTGGGTGGATGGATGGATGGATTGATGATGTGTTGGTTGGTGGGTGGATGGATGGATGGATGGATGTGTTGGTTGGTTGATGGATGGATGGATGGATGGATGTGTTGGTTGGTTGGTGGATGGATGGATGGATGGATGGATTGATGGATGTGTTGGTTGGTGGATGGATGGATGGATGGATTGATGGATGTGTTGGTTGGTGGATGGATGGATGGATGGATTGATAGATGTGTTGGTTGGTGGATGGATGGATGGAATGATGGATGTGTTGGTTGGTGGGTGGATGGATGGATGGATTGATGGTGGATGGATGGATGGATGGATTGATGGATGTGTTGGTTGGTGGATGGATGGATTGATGGATGTGTTGGTTGGTGGATGGATGGATGGATGGATTGATGGATGTGTTGGTTGGTGGATGGATGGATGGATGGATTGATGGATGTGTTGGTTGGTGGGTGGATGGATGGATGGATTGATAGATATGTTGGTTGGTTGGTGAATGCATGGATGGATGGATGGATGTGTTGGTTGGTTGATGGATGGATGGATTCAGTGCAAACTATTGGTCAGGCAGTGCAGGAATACATGACATTTTTTGACAATATCTTATTTGTGTGTTTGGAGTTTGAACTGGTCCATCTTTCGTTTGATCTTTCACATTTCCACATTTCCAAAAGTGGTTGTATTTTACAAGAAATAACAGTGCATGTTTGGTTTCTAGCACAGACACAGAGCAACTTTTTCACACACAAAAGTGAACTCCAGCAGCCAATATGCTCTCAGGCCAAAGAGGCTCAAGGCTCAACGTTTTCTGTTCAGATTAATGTAACACACAAATCTAGAAGTAAAAGGTTGTTCTCAGCCTTTACCAACTGCAACAGATACAATGACATGGTGCCAACCTATTTCCTCTTCCTGTTATGTCTCAGCATGAAATAATAACCTTTGGCACTGTTAGATAGATTTTAGTCTCACCTCTCCTGGTCAGACTTCTTGCCAGAGGAAGCAGTGGAGGAGAGGGGCCGGGTTTTGGTTTTGCAGGGACTGTCCTTCACGCTGCCTGGGGGACTCCGCACACTACTGCAAAACAGGCCAACAGCTATCATTATGAGGGAGGAGAGACACAAAAGTGGAAACTATATGGATCTGTTTTTGATACATAGATAGATACATGGATAGATAGATAGTTAGATAGATAGATCTTTTTATTATGTGACTTGGACCAAACGCGCACTCTGATGGTTGATTTGCGGTCTGATATTTTCCCATCTCGGACGGTTACCATGACAATTGGTCCGAACAGCGCGTATCACATTTGATATCTTTCCACGGACCGTTACCATGACAATCGGTCCACAGCCCGTATCACACAAAACCAAGTCGGACATGAACATACTTCACAAATATCTCAAAAGCATTGGTAAAGACACAGCCGAGAGTCATATAATAAAACATTTATTAACCTTGCTTGCTCGGTCTGTACAGAGAAATATCAAACCTTGGCCTTTTTGCACTGACCTCGCCACGGCTCGGTCTGTACATTAAGGCCGCGGTCTGATATTTCTCCATACAGACCTGGCGCGCGGTTAATAAGCCGTTAATATACAATGGCTTGCAAAAGTACAATTGAACCTCTACACATTGTGCCATGTAATAACCAGAAGGTTTTTCTCTTTTTCCTTCTTTCGATCTATTGAGAATAAAAAACTGAATGCAGCTCTGCAATCCATACACATTGGAAAGTTATGATGAGATTTGTAAGTAGTTCTTGATATGTATATTTGTCCATGTGTACTTTTGTATGGGTTCAAATACAAAATTGGGCAGAGCTGAGGAACTCCTTCAAATAAAAAGGGTTTAAAACATGTTTGTCTTTAATCTCTTGATACGATTTTTGGTATCAACAGATTAAAGACACAGTGGAGGGATGTTAGCTACTACCCTCAGCTCTGTGATTTCAAGGTGTAAAAGTTTCAAAAACAATACTTCTTACTTCTCTGATCTGTGTTGGTGATTACAATGGTTTTGTTAAGTCCTCTGAGACGACTGCTGTTGTGATTTAGGGCTTTACTGTACGTGAAGACATTTTATTGTATACCTAAAATTTACTTTCAGACTCTATCATCTCTACCCACTTCACAGATTTATCTAAACTAGTTGCATACTATGGTGGACCTGCAAAAGCTTTTGACTCCTTCTTTCCTTTTTTATTTTCATATATATATTTGCATTTTGTATTAACTTGTCACTCAAGTGCTTCAATAAATTCCAAATGAAAATGAAAAACAATAGGCCTGATTCGTCTGGTCTGATATAACGACAGGATTACAGTGAGGAAGAGGACATGCTGCACTCCTGCACTGTTCCCAATGAGACACAATAATGCAGCATCTGTCTCAGGCTGATTATTATTTCCCATCAGGTAATATGCCACACTAAGAGGATTTCTGGCACTGGTTCTAAAAATACTATTATTACAGTAATTAAAATGTGACGGGTTAGATTTTGCCTGCAGTAAATCCACTGCATCAGTTGGTCATGATGGCAAGGAGTTTTTATTATATGACCAAACAGATAAAATATATATATTTGAAACGTTTAAACCTAAGTGACAGCCTATGTCGCGGACAGGCAAGTCACACTGTAATCAGGTTTCTGACCAGTATAAAGGCCGTAATAAATATTGTTCAAGTATAATGCATATGGAAAATACTATTATTGTAACTTTAAGACTGTTTTATGGTGGTATATTTCTCTAGAAAGACTGCTGTTAAATGTTTAATTGAATTGTGTAATCTTGAGGGGTTTTGAAAGACCAAATCAATGTCTACCTGACGTTCTAGTAAAATAGTATCGACTAAGCCAACATTATCACCGGCCACCAGCTAATTGAGAATTTAGACAAAACGTCTTGTGCGGCCATATATAAAATGAATGGTTTAGATACATAAAATGTATCATGGATCTATTATAATGGATCCAAACACTTGACAAAAGAAGAAGCAATAAGACTTGCAACAATGTAAATAAAACTATAAAAACTAAAATAACAACAATCATAATGACAATAACGATAACAACATACATAAATACACACACAAAAACAAAAAAAAGAACCACAAAAGTTCATCAAATGACTTGACCTATTACAACCATGTGTTTCAAATAGAAAAATGGAAATAACGGTTTGACAAATTGGCTTCTTCCGAATGCAACAACTTTTATATAAGAAAATAAATACTGAAAGAGGCTTCAGTGGGACATACCTGCAGGCAGACGGCGTGGGGCTGTACGTCCTCGCTGAGCCGCTAGAGGGCGCAGTGCAGCTCTTCTTCAAGGCCGTGGGTCTGGAGACGAGCGCCAGAGACACGGGCCTGGCTGAGCACACAACACAGGGTTTTAGAGCGTTTTGTAATTCACTTATTTTAAACATGTCATAAGATATATAAAATTTATGGATGGTTTTATTTATAATTGTTAAGAATTTGATTGTTTTTGATATTAGAAGTTAACTTTATTACTAAAGAAAAGCCATATGAGATTTGCATTGGGTGATTTTATTGGCCTGAATAGATAAAGTGCTAAAAAGCAAACAGAGCTAAAATAATAAAACTCTGGGGTACTAACTTTTCACACATCTCTGAACAGAAAGAGTCGTGTAAAGGTATAATATTTTTTACAAATCAGACCACAACATGCTGTTGATAACATTAAATATGTTATCTTATGCACACTTTTGTTGCTTTGGGCTGAGAGCTGATTGGCTGGAGCCAATGATAGAACCAAACTGTTGTGAGCCAGGACTGAGATGGATTTGATTATATCGTAAAATGTTTTTGTGGTTTGAAAATTAGGTACCCCAGCTTTAATCATTATGCATTATCTTTTGCCCTTGAAATGATCATGATCAGACAGAAGTTAGAAGTTTGTGCCAGAAGTTCCTGATATTAGAAACTCTGTGACGGATGAGGAACAATGTTGTAACATGGTTTAAAGAAAAAGAGAGAAGAAGAATTTGCGTATTATGTCTTATTCAAAGTTAGGGTTAGGGTTAAAGTAGCTGCTGTCTGTACCTTTCCCCCCGGCTCTCCGAGCAGCTGTAGCAGCAGTGGCAGAGGCCTGGTGCTCCTCTGTGAGGTTGAGCCTCTTCAGAACATCAGCCAGAGCCATCTTCAGCAGCTGGATTTCATCCTCCTGCATCTGCATCCTCTGCTCCAGGTACGTGAGCCGGTCCACCACGTCCAGACCCGAGGCCGCGGAGCTACGGTCGTCTGAACACAAGAAACAACCAGTTTGCTTTTAAAAAACTGAACTTAGAAGGAAAGATTTTTTCATATTTTGCACCTCAAAAAATGTAATGACGTTCAAATGTTTGCCAAACTGGACACTCTTTCACATGTGAATGATTTGATTTTAGTCTACTTATAGTCAAAAGACTAAAAATTAAACAAAATCATGACATGTGGCTACATTTAGAACTACTTTCAAACCAATGTGTATCAATGTGAGCTACTCTTTGGAATGGATTTACAGCAAATGTGTGCGTATGTGTGTGTGTTGTATGGTGGGTGTGTGTGAGTGTGTTTTATTTTGTTTTAAATTGTACTGTTTGTTTTGAGTGATGTGAGGGGAGTTGGAAGTTGATCGCCTGCTTCATCCAACCCCTTTTCAAAACGGGTTAGGGTAAAGGTTTAGGGCAAAGTGACAATAGTTTGTTGGATTTGTGTTTTACAGGTTCTGGAACAAACATTTTTGATTGACTGATTGGATTGAACTGTTGTTTTTGTGAATATGTTTGTTTATGTTGGGCACCTAAGAAAAAGTCTGCAACTCATTGAATCATTGAACTACAGTAATAGACTAAAAGAGTGAAAATAATATTGAATTGGCTCACAGCTTGTAAAAACCCAAAATAAAACATAAATATTAAATGAACTCTTTATTCTTTAATAGTTTATGAAATGTTTTATTAAAAATAGACCCTTTAATAGTCTCTTTCTGGGTCAGGGAGGTGGCAATCCGATTCTGACACCCACTTCTCACAGCACCAGCCCCTCACTGTTCCCCCTGTAGGTGGTGGGTCCACAGGAGGATGGTTGGTCCATCAGCGATGACACAGCCTTGATCTTTCAGCCGGGGCTCCAGGCAGACAACAGTGGGAGCAGCTGACATGAGTCGTGCATCAATCCCACAACCATTAAGTTCAAAGACTCGGTCTGTATCAATTGAGCCACCGTCACTCCACTTTAAGCTATTTATCAAAATGAAAACAAAAAAGTCTTGGCATACTGAGTCGAAATCATATATTACAGAAATAAATTAACTTTTGAACGATATTAACATTTTCCAACTTTATCCAGTAAATATGGAAATTGTTCTGGCCATTTTCTTTTCTTTCAAGGACTGAATAAACTTAACCTAAACAGACAGAAACCATTGCATACAAAGCCTGCTGACTTATCACGTTTGCTTTGCTGCGACATTCTAATAGAGAAACGTGACCTTTACCCACTGCGCCGCTGCACTGTTAACAATGATACCAATCAGAATATCATTTAAATACAATTAGCGTAAGAAAAGCAGAAAAACGACATCACAAAAGGCCAGCGAAACCTTTCGAGAGGACACTATTGTCTTGTCACTACGTAATCAGACATCTGTAACATTTAAGAGCAAACAGACCCACAGACTGATAATGGGGTCAGGGCACAGCTGGGCTCCTGCTGTCAGAGTGGAACCAGGACACCCCACAAAACACCTCAATACAAATCTGGGAGCAGATATTACTGAATTTCTTTTTCAGTTGGTTCGGCTCATTTCATGAAACCGAAAACTCTCAAATCGAAAAGATATTCCGCAAAACATTTCAATCAACTACCATGTCTCAAAACACTTTGTGGCTGCAGGTTTTCATTCTAACCAAGTAGGAGCACACCAGACTCCACCCACATCATGGATCACCTGCAAAGGCTCATCTCCCTCCCAAAACTTTAGACACATGTGTCCAAACCATAGACTGTAATCATCAACTGACAAAGTCACGCCTATCTCCACCATTGAAAATAATGTGCCATCACTTTTGCCTTCTATGGGCTTTATCAAAATGGCCACGGGGCAAGAAATTGTGAAAAAACGCATTTGCGCATGTGTTAGCCGACATGAGCCCCATTCACTTGACAAGTGCATTCAAAAGTCCACAATGGTTTAACTAGACTGGTCAAAAAAAAAAAACTCCCTTCAGCATTGACAGCATCTGGAACATAGTTGGGTTAAGAGCCGACTTTGGGACCACTTCATGTAAAGCTGTTTTCAAGAGGAAAGAAGACGCCATGCAAATGGGTAATTCGTATTCCGGGTCCACCGCACAGACATGCTGCAAACTCAATCAGTGGGGGCGGGTCCCGACCTTATGGAGCCGGGACCCGCCCCCACTGGTTCAAACTAAACTCCTTTCTCATAACTGACTGTATTACCCCAAAATGCATTGTCTGTTTGGCATTGTGTGACCTCTTTAGGTCCAAATGGTTATATTTTTGTATTTTTGGCAGAAAACTGAACATAATTGTTTAAGACTGTAAATGAAAGAAGATATCATGGTAGTTTTGTATCATACATACAGCACTCCTACTGCTGAAGAAATAATAACCATTTTCATTCACAAACTTTAAAGCCAGGTCCATTCAGTAGATGACATATGTATAGATATGTTATGTGTGCACTGCATACAGTATGTGCATGTGTGTATGCAGGTACAGGTATAGGTGTATGTTTGTATGTGTGTGTATGTATATATATATATATGTATATGTATGAATGTGTGTATATGTATGTAAATGCATGTTTAGATATATATATTATATATATAAAAGGAAGAAAATTAAAATAAATAAATAATAATAATAAAAAATAAATAAACATATATATATGTATATAGTCATATTCTGTGTTTATGTATATGATGTGATTACAAGGAATATTTCTTTGAATTAGTACGAACTATTTATTTTCTTACAATGAAAATTGTATTTGGAAATACTGTAAGCTCTGTGGATCCGCTACATTGTATATAATTTTGTTACATTTGTATAAGTAAGAAATGTAATTTTATTATTTGTTAATAGGGTTAGGCGAAATAAGTGTTAAACTTCAGCCTAACCCTTTCGGTCAGTATATAATTTATAATTTGTGTATGTCAAATGTTTTCTTATTTTCTGCTGATGGCCGAAGAATAAACAAATATATATACATACTGAAGAAAATGACAAAAGATTTGGAGGTCTGGGAACATGTCTAAGCAGGAAACTGGTTTTATTGTTGTTTTGCAGCAGAAGCAACACAACCAGTTTTCACAGGGTTCACACGTTTTACACGCAGACAAAATACGGAAGTTCCCCTCAGCGTCTGCTGCGTCACCAGTCGATAAGTTTGCTTCAGATAACCAAAACATCAAGTGGAAAAGTACTGGCTTCTGCAGGCTGTTGTAATGACAACAGCCTGCAGTAAAAAAAAAATATTTAACCTTTATTTAACCAGGAAAGTCCCACTGAGATTAAGAACCTCTTTTTCAAGGGAGTCCTGGACAAAAGATCAGTAAAAGGGCTCACTGTTCAGACTGTAGACTATTGTACGTATCCATGAGTAAAGACACTGAAGTCATGCACGAAGACATTTGAAATGTTATGAATCAATGAGAAATGTCATTCAGCCCTGAAAAATTACATGGTGGTGTGGAAATTTGTCCATGTTATTTTGACATTGTCATCTCAGTTCCCGTGTTCTTGCTCATTCCAATCCAATTCTAACCTGCTAGCTCAAAGAAGCCCAATGGGGAAGTGCTCATTGACAAAGTTTTTCTTCAACTTACTCTCTTTGTAACTTACATTCAAAAGTAAACTCCTCTCCTTAATATCTGTTTGTGATTTAGCACTCTCTGAAGTCCTGTTGTTTTTAATTTTGATTTTGTCTTAATTAAAGAGACAAGAGCCTTAATAATTGACCAATCAGACGCCTTACTTCATTGGGGAAACTCCACCTTGCCTTAGCAACCCTGTTAGCAACACGCTCGTCTGCATTGGATCTTGAAATGACTTTGTTTTTGTCTGGTCACGTCAATTCAGACAAAGCACAGATTTGGAACACTAAATTAATCATTTGACATCTGAATTGAATAAACTAAAGTAACGGGTAAACCAAATAAGCAAAGATAGAAGTGATCTCCAAATATCCTTGTGTAAGCATGTACCCTGCGTGGGAGGCACCGGCGAGCATGTCTCCTTGGGCCCTGGTTGCTGGGGTCCCTCCTCGGCCATCACCGTGGTCTTTCTCCTCTTCCTCTGCTCTCTGCAGCACAAGCGCTCGTTCTTCCTGCTCCCTTTAGCGCCCCCTGTGTCCACCTGCCGTCTGTCCATCACAAACTTCTCATGGCCTTCTCCTCCACACAAACACCTCCAGCCAAAGGGGAAGGCGAGATGTCTGGGATGATTATGGTGGTCCCAGGGCAGAGGAGTGGCGGGTGGGTGATGGTTAGAGGGGGTGGAGTTGATCAGGATTAAATCTCCAGCATAAATTGTGTGTGTGTGTGCGTGTGTGTGTGTGTGCGTGGGTTTGACAGAATACAATGATAATCCCGCAGACTGATCCTCACAGACTCCGCCCACAAACATAAATCCATTGGAACATTCAGAGATGGAACATGGAGTCATTTGAAGGTGCTTTGTGTAACTTTGGCCTCAGCTCCTCAAAAACAGTGGATATTCTAATGTGCGATAAGGTGCATAATCATCATAAACTCACAGTCTGTAGTTTAATCTGACAAACAAAATATTCTATTGTAGGTCAGCTCTCTTTCACAAATTTGACTCAGTTACAAACAGAATCAAGAGGAGTGGGTCAGAATTCCAGACAACTATTGAAATCTCGTGAAAGCGTATATCCAAAACATTGAACAAAAAGTCCAACCGTTTAAGGAAGTTCTCTTCTGACTTCGTACAATTATTTTCTACAAACTCACCCTTCTCATAACTGCACTGTCAACAACGATAACAAATGCTTGGATGAGGTTAAATTGATCTTGATTTTAGTAACAGTTGTCAGTCTTACAACAGGATCTACAAACCATTTCTCAGTTTAGTTGGAATAAGAACAGAATTGCTATCTCCGTTGAAATGATAAATGTTAGCAGATGTTGGTTTAAGACAGTCAAAATATATTTTCAAAAATACTTGTATTGGTGTGAAGTGCAAGTAGTGGTGTGCTGGGAATGTCTGCAATGAAGCAAGAGGATTCAGCCCTAGTACCGGTCAGCTCTGTGGACGTGACACCATAGACTGTGCTGTATATAGATAGACTTTGCTGCCCTCTAGCTCAATGAGACTTGATAGTAGTAGGGCTTTAAAAGAATTCATGGTTTAGCGTAATCATCGATCCTGTCTAGATCTTGTAAATCGTTATACGTAAATCCAACTGACCAATCAAGAGTGTTCAATAGCCATGTTTGGCTTTAGCTAGTGAGTTGCGCAGGGGAAGTCTGTGTTTCTCCCGATTGGTGTTTAGTAACTTAGCTGTTATACCCACAAAATTTGGTATCATTTTTTGCATTAAGGCTAACACGATGGATGATGTCTGCAGTCCACTCCTAATATACTGGTGCATCGCTCTATAATACAGGAAACACACTGAAGAACTACAAAAAGTAAAGCATTTCCTGAACAAACCTTCATTGGTTGATTTTATATAGATATTTTGTGATAGAATACAATATTTTGCAAAGTCAACATTATTCAATTTGATTAGATACATTGAAAGCAATGGGGCTGACAGTGGCTCAGTTGGTAAAGTATTGGCCCTTGAGCCTGGAGGTTGGTTTGAGTCCACCTTCTCCACCATCTCCCCCTGATGTCTGCTGTCGTTGTGTCCTTGGGCAAGACACCTAACACCACTTTGCCTGAAGCCCCCTCTGAAGGATCAAGGCTGTGTTGTCACTAATAGCAGGAGGATCAGTGAGGGGCTGGTGCTCTGTGAATGAGTTGCAGCTCTGACTGTCACCCCCCCTGACCCAGAAATGGATTAAGGGGAAGAAAATGGATGGATGGCATTGAAAACAATAGTCATGATTAAAGGACACTTATTCCTGTTTATGTAGCATTTTTCTTAATGTGGTTTTTCCATTGCAGTGATTTTCTTCATACTGCTTTGATTGAATAAACCAGTTTTATCCCGGCTTTAAAGTGGATTCCGAGCGCTTTGTGAAGACCAGCCTAAAGTTCTTTGTGTTTGTTTGCAGGGTGTTCTGGTCTTAATCTGGTCTCGTGTGGCTCTGCTGTCTCCTGGACCGTGACATCACCCTCGTGCCTCCTCCACACGACACATATGGGATTGGGATTAGAATAGCACATAATCCCCCTGCTGCGAAAGGGAATTACAGCGCAGCAAACGTTCAATCTCTCCCCCTGCCTCTGATCATGCAAAAACACACACACAGAGGAGAGAGACATGAGCTGTTGACAACTTTGATTCAGAATATTTGACATAACGTGTTTCTGCCTGCTTTGCATTCAAACTATAGAGACCTGGCTTTGATTCTCAGGCTCCTGGGCTTTTGCTGAGGGCAGTTCTGGCGTCATTGCCTTGGGGTCAGTAAGTCACATCTGTCCCCAGGGCACATGGGCCTCCATCATCGCTTCTGTTCATCGTTTTTATGGACAGAATTTGTCGGCTCAGTCACAGGCCGGAGAGGTTCGGTTTGCAATAGAGTGTGATGGGACTGGATGGAAATCAGCTCCAAACAGGATGACAAATACTACAGCAGTCTGCAGGTGGTGGAGAGGTTCTCAAATGCAGGAGTAGGAGAAGACCCTCGAGTTCAACACTGTGCTGAAAGATCTGTTCTAGTATCCATGGGTGAGTGTATGGTGAGTCTGACTTAGTCTGACTTAGATCTAGTTTAGAGCCAACTTCTCTCATTTCTGGGGCAATCGAAATGAAACAAAAACTGTCCCAAAGTTCCTCATCTTTGTCAGGACATATCAACTACGGTCTGATTATTTTCTCATAGAGGTGTCCAGAAGTGGTGACAACATCAGAATAATGCAGTGGGTTAGTGAATCTTGAGTGCTGGATCAACAATTGTTGAATGTGATTGAAAATGGAGCCACACGAGTCTGTTGCTCCTGTCAAATTTTATTGTTATTTACCAAAGTTTCATTTAATTTGTGATCATTATGTCAGGGTTTGAGAATCTGTCAAATAATGATCTGGGAAAATATATGGACGTCTTTTTTCTTTCTTTCAAAAGTTGTATTGACACCTGACAATAACACTGAAATAGAATTCTACAACATGAACACAACATGAATAATACAGGAAATAATATGAGACTTTCTGTTCCCAGTGAGACATGGACAGTGCAGCGTGTGCAGTGATGCGGTCACTCTCTGACTGTTGTGGTGAACAGGGAGCAGTGTCTACAGTCCAAGCTCTCGACTTACAGCTCAATCCGCATTCCCACGCTCACTTATGGCCATAAGTTTCAGTAATTACCAATAAATTGTAGTTTTTAAACTAATTCTAGTTAGTTAGTTTAAATGTTAGTGTAATTTTATTAGTGTAATGTCTTTTGTTAGCTTTTTACACTTTTCCTAGGGCCTAAATAAACTAATGAATAAAAGAACATGATTGTGACTTGAATAAATGTTTTGCTTGTGTTGAAAAAAAGCCATGAAACTGTGACATCAGCTCTGGTTTGGTGTTTGCAGTGCTGAGGCTGGTCTTTCATATGTTTCTGCAGAAATCTCAGCCGTGCGCATCACTAAACGCACACAGACAGTACATCCCTGACATGTTTAAAATACATATGGCCCTTTGATGCGTGTGCGTGTGTGTGTGTGTGTGTGCGTGTGCGTGCACGTGCGTGTGTGTGCCTGCCTGCGTGTGGAAGAAGAAGCAGTGTTGCGATCACAGATGGTGTTTTGAATGAAGACGCAGCATCTGTGGGCTCAGATCCTGTTTGCTGACACATGCCGTACATGTGGCACACCGGTTTTATTATCACAAAGACCAGAAGCTGTTTGAGTTTTACATCCTCCATACGTTCCTCCGTCACACACAATACGGGGTCTTTCCTTCTCCCTGAAATGTTGTTGCTGGAGAAAATCAACTGTTTTCAGAAAAGAATAGATCAGGTCAGGTTTGGTTCAAAAAGGATCAGAGTTTCTTTTTGGGTTCAAATGTTTTTGTGGTACTTTTGAAAGACAAGTTAGTGAAATACTGTTTGCAGGGTCTGATGTGAGGGTCTAACTAAAAGGACAGTGGAGATGATCCAGGATGCTCAACATTTCTCAACACTAATACCTATTTAATTGTTCTGCTTGAATCTGTTTTGGCAAATTTGATGGTTTTGTGAAGACCTCCTGGATAACTACTGTTGTGATTTAGGGCTATGGAAGAATACGTTGAATTGAAAGGCAGGTAACAGTTGTAATACATCCAACTTGACTTTCAAAAGAACCAAAACAACATTTTGAGGTCAAGAGTTCCTGATAGCATGGATGGATCTAAAAACATATGTTGCGTTTAAACCTGGGGCGTCTCTCTCACAAATCACAAAAATAGGACTACGGAACGTGACAAAAGCCAGGTGTGTGAACCAACCACACACTGGACTCCTTCGAGGCAATGTGGGTGAGGTGTCTTGCCTAAGGACACAACCAGTTTAGCACTTTACAGCCACAGCCGGCCCACTGTCGCACCTGGTGTTTCCCAAAGGTCTCCCATCACAGTACTAACCAAGCCCTGCCCTGCACAGCTTCAGAAATCTGACGGGATCTGGCTTTCGCATGCAAGCCAGAATATAGAGCAATAAATTATAGAAATAACCAATGCTCCAATACTACTTTTAAAGGCATTTTTGTTTCTAAATATTACAGCTATTTATCTTTTACAGATTTTTCACTGATCTGAGTGCTCTTTTTATTCCACCTGTCCTGACACAAAAACATGTTTTCCTGTATTACCTGCCTGACGTAAAACACAAGAACTAATTAATTACACATATTTTAACAAAATGTAGATGTCCTGCTTCCACTATATCAATGTGGAGTAGATGTCAGTAAAAGTGTGTTACTGTTATGTAGAACAAAACATGAAAAGATTCCTCAAACAAATGATGTGGGATTGAGCTTACTGCATAAGCATGACCAAAGTAAATAAATCCTTCAGCCATGCTCAGTGGGAATAAGCCTTAATATTCTCTACAAGTGTCTAGTTTCTGATAAGCGAGGAACGTTATTCATGGGTCACTGGCAGGAAAATGTAGAGAACCATCATCTCGAGTTGACCTTCAGGACAGCAAACAGCTACCAGTAGTACTCGTAGTGATAGTGGATCCTTTGTGGTCCCGCTACCAGAGGTTATACAGTAAATCTCACTGCGGCACATCTCAGTCAGCCCCAGGGCAGATGTGGCTACGGCAGTTTGCGATAATGGCCAAAACTGTGAACGCTTATTCAAGAAAAAAACATGGAACTCATCATTACAACAAAGTGCTGACATAGCTCATTGGGGAATAAAAATGGATCAAATATACACAAACATAACTACTTAAAAAGAAAGTCCAATTTGCATGTCATGGCCCATTTAGCATTTACATTTGATTGTTCTGAGATTTTTGTGTCAACAGAAAGAGTTACATTTTGCGACCAAATCAGACCACGTGATGTCTTCCACCTGATAGAAAATATTTTATCTCTGGCATTCTTTTAAGGAAGAGCCCTGTGACAATTTGTTGCTATGGGTTGAGAGCTGTTTGGCTGAGTGAGGGTGGACCAATTTTTTCCCTTTTCTGCCTTAAAAGATGTGACCGAGGGTAAAAATGCATACATGTGAAAACTAGCTATTGTTTTGAGGACAAGGAAATATAACTACATGGACTTTGTTTTTCACTTCCTTTTCTGGTTTGAAAGTTAGGCACCCCAGCTTTTCCCTCCCATCACCACTCACCTGTCATGAAGTCTGCATCCGGAGCCAGCAGGGAGTCGCTGTGGACGCTTTCCTTCAGCGAGGGCCTTCTGTCCGGGCTGTCCACGCTCCGGTCATCCACCAGATCCACCAGCAGCTCCATGTTTGCGTCCACGTCCACTGCTGTCTCCGCCATGGCCCCGCACTCGCCGACTGTGCCTTTATCCCCCGTAAGTCCTCCTATAGTCCGTCCTATAAGCCAGTTTGCTCGCACCTCTCCCTTTCTCCCCCTCGGCACGTGGGATTTGTGGAGTTGTATATTGAAGAGGGTGATGTCACAGATTAAGGCCCGTAAGCCAGAGAGCTGAAGTCATCTGAAGACAAAGCCCAGGTCTCAAGATGCTCCACAAAGCCTCCACATGTCTGTTCTCATATTTACAATGAGACAGTTTCCCCTGAGATCAGTTATAGTATATGCTTTATTATATATATATGCTAGTTTTAAAGGGGATCTATGCATGTAATATTTTCTTTTCAAATTATAGCTACATCTTTTATATGTGACAAAACAGGTCAACAGTTACAATGGACACTTATGTTCTAACCTGCACTGTTGTATGTGTGGGTTTTTGTATATATTTTATTACTTGTCGCTTACGATGGTAATAAAAATAATTCTGATAATTGACCTTTTCTGCACAAAAGTTTAAAGTGAAGTTCTTTAAAAAAATAAAAAAAATAAAATACAACTAACCAGATGTTCTTCATGTTTAGTTTTTGAGCTGATTATTATTATATATTATATTATATTATTATTATTATAGAAGATCAGAATGAATTGCTAGTGTGTTAGGGCAAATTTAACTGGTTTTGGCCCTCTGTCTCTGTCTCTCTCTCCCTCTTAATTATTTTGCTTTAGTTCCCAAAAATATTTGTTTGTTAAAGAAAATCTATTCTGTGAAATGAATCTGTAATATCTCTGCACAAAAAGAATCCAAAACCAAGATCCATGGAAAAAACAAACGTTTAAAATAAAAACAATATCAATGAAATCCAATCAGCTCCAGGGATTTCAAACAGTCTATGGGCAAAACCACAAACACAAGCATGGACGCTGGTTGAGTGAATTTCCAGAGCATAAATATGGCGGCTGAATGCATTGAGTGGAGCCAGCCAGCAGCAGCTCACCTGTTTAATTCAATTCAATGTATTCTTGTATAGCCCTGAATCACAACAGTAGTTTTCTTGGAAGACTTAACAAAACCGTTGTCATCTGTAAATGGAGACAGGGAGACATTTTGGTCGGTTTTAGTCAGCAAAAACACATCACTGACAAAATCTGAGGACGAATTTGAGTCTGCGAAGTAAACACTGCTAACAATACATGTGCTCATCTATTTCAGGCACATCCGGAAAACCAGCAGGAACCACTCCTCTGCTGCTGCTGCTGCTGCTGCTGCTTTTGCTGACTTGTACACAATCCCTCTCCCCAAATAAGCTCTGTGTTTGTGGCTCGGCACAGACTGGAACAGCAGATCCCAGATTAGAACCTGATTTGATTAATCACAGACACGGGGAGGACAGTAGGACGTAGTCATTAGAGGAGCAGATGAAGAGAGCAGAGTGAGCGCAGGGTGGGCTGGAGGTGACTGAGGTTTCTGAAACCAAACATATAAATAAATATATGGCATATATGTTATATATATATATACTAGGAAAGACACACAAATTACACAAAAAGTGAGACATATCAATTTGTTTTGATGTTGATAACTGGCTCAAAGCTTGTAAAAACTCCTAATAAAAAATGTCAATACATTGAAAATGGACTATAAAGCAGTGACGTAGGGATATTAGGGCCAGGGTAGTGCCAGGCCTACCCACTTTTTTCCAGGCCCGCCCTATTCAAAATGTATGACTACGTCCCTGCTATAAAGACATAATCCTCAATATCATATGTTGAAAAAACAAAACTAAAGGCTTGGCATATGGCACTGTTCAAATTGACTAACTTGTTTGCCCCCAAGTGCAAACAGTCAAGGTAAAAATCGAGTAAGGCAGGCATGTCAAACTCAGGTCCGTGGGTCCAATCTGGCCCACAAGAACATTTTTAGTGGGCCCCTGAAGCAAGCACCTTCAGGGGCCTGAAGCACCACCTGAAGCAAGCACCACCCTTTTGTCCGCTTTACGTCGTGGCTGGAGGTGCAGTGGTTGTGCAGGGGAGAAAGAACACAGCCCTGCGGAACTCCTGTATTTATAATCCGAGTGTCCGAGACATTCTCTCCCTTCTTCATGTCCTGTAGGAGGAGTCGGGCACGTTGAGCTGGGAGCGCTTGTCAGGATCGTGTTGAAGGGTCCACAAAAAGGAACCTGGCGTAGGCTCCCGGGGAGTCCAGATGCTGCAGGACAAAATTTAGGTGGTCCACTTTATAAAATAATTATAATAAAATAAAAAAGTGCAATGTGTCTTCCCCAGCAGCAGAATATTGAGTGAGAGTATCAGGCGCCGTTTATGCCCTCCCTCTAACCTGGAGAAAACTATAAAAGCTAAGCAGGTGTCATCTTTAACATTAGCTTTTATAACCATATTAAAATCCTCCAATAAAACCCATAAGGACCATATATTTAATAAAGAGCCACGTAGGCCTATTTTATTATATCATAGAGAACAGAATCAAATTATAGAGAACAGAATCGAGCCTTTAACAAGTTGATTTTGAAAAGTCAATTGGGGGAAAAGCTCTCTCATATTCATAGTTTCTTGTGTGCAGTTCTTCAATCGTCCAGCTGGTGGCAATTATTTCTACCATAGTGCATCAACAGCGCTGAGGCCGGTTGTGTTCACGTGATTCTTGAGGTTTTAAACTAGCTGTAGGTGTCTTTCTCAGCCTTCTCACTGGGACTCACCACAACCTGTCCACTCTACTCACTGGCTGTTTAAAAAAAGATCATTCTAACCCTCAAACTCAATGCAACTCAAAAGGGAAGTGCTCATGAACAAAGGTTTTTTGTCAGCATGTAGTTTACCCAGAACGATTTCTCATATGAGGAAAGACCCCAGCTAATTCATGGTCAAATCGGCTTCTTCCACATTGAGTAGACTCTGTGGTCCATGATGAGGAGGGCTGAAGAGAATCATTTCAATACTGACAGAACTGAAATAGAAAAAAGAGCCCATCTCAGAGTTCTTTATTTGTAGCAAAGATACAAGAGAATGAGTGCAAACAGAGATAAAAAGCAGGGTAAATGGGAGGAGTCAGGTGCTCTTCAAGGATCTGAGGAAAATTGAAGTGGAAAACAAAGAGGAAAAGTTCTGAGGCACTCTGACTTAAAGTAAAAATCTTATTGTGGGGACATAGACTGTTAGGATATTTTTTTAACTCTTGAAAAATGAGAGCAAACATCAATGAAAAAAAGTTGCCCGTCGTAACCAAAAACTACCTTGAATCTAATGTTATCCCATATTTTCCAAATATACGGGCTGGTAAAACACACCTTCTGGTTTAATCTCTTGAAACGGTACGGATCTCACGGTCTTTATGAGGAGAAAATGTTTAACTCATTTGTTTCCCTGGATTGGCAGCACATACACCTGGTGGTCTGTGGTCTCCCATCACTGTACCACCAGGCCATGCACTCCTTACCTTCTGAGAGGAGTCTCTGACAAGATGTATGCAATGTATTAGTGTCTTGGGCCAGATTTTGGAAGTGGAACAAGCTCATATCCCTCCATTTATCCCTTTTTTCCAAACTAACAATCTTATATTTTCATTTTCAGTCAGTTTGAATATTATTTATCAAAGTTGAAATTTAAAGTTTAAACCAACATGAGAGAGGGAGAATTACCTGCTGCACAAAAGAGCTCGAGCACATTACTGTTGTATGATGGTATTCCACGCTGAGAGGTCAGAGCGCTTGACCCCCACTGCGGTGTATCCTGACCCATAGACACATGCACACACACAGAGACACACGCAGACACACACACACACACACACAGAGACACACACACACCTACACACTCACAGGACACACACACACACACACAGAAAGACACGCACACACACACCTACAGTACACGCACACATACACACACACAGACAGACACACACAGAGACACAGACGCACACACAGACTCACAGAGACACACACACAGATACACACACAGACGCACACACCCACACACTCACAGAGACACACACACACAGAGAGACACACACACACATACACACACACGCACACAGACAGACACAGAGACACACACACACACACACAGACAGACTCACAGAGACACACACACACAGATACACACAGACACACACACACACACACACTTTTGCAGCTTCCCAAGGCATCATTAAGAAGACCCTGGGAATGAGAAAGAAGTCATTTCAACAGGTCAAGTTCTGTGGTAATTGACTTAAATCTTTGGTAACATTTTAAAACCTTATATATGAAGAACGATGTCATTTCTATGTGTTTATGTACGTATTTATGCCCGTACCACTTTTCAGACTATAGTTGGAATGAGATCAACCTCGAAGGCTGTTATTTATGACTCTTTCACTCAAAATTGTGATTCGGAGTAAATTCAATGAACTTCACTATGATTAGTATTTTTTGTTTTAATAAACAGTCCATGGCCACATTGTATTTTTGACAATAGATCAAAGCAGAATGGAAGAACAGTTGAGAACTTTTGCACTGGGTTGTATAGGTCGAGGCCATAGATTGCATAAAGAGCTGTGTTCTGCCCTCTAGGGGTCATGTGTAGAACTGGGAGAGGGGGCTTTGGCTCTCCATACGGGACTCAGATAGACAATCAAATGTATCAATAAACATGCAGAACAACGATTTTAAACACATTTTTCAGGTAAGCTTCAGAGTTGGAACGAAGGTATGGCACAATCACCGACAACTGAGTTTATTTGGAAGAAAAAACAATGTCCAGTCATCATCTAAAGACGAATGTTGTGCTAAAAAAAAGGTTTGATGTATATTGATTTTTTCAAATTGGATATAATTTTCCCTCAATAGACGTATAATAAATGCATCCATAGTGTAGTGACAGTCTGTTTGTTCAAATCTCGGTGGAGCATTAGATAACGGGCCAAAAGCCTTTTACTGAAATAATAATAAGTAATCTTTTTTATATAGCGCCTTCCACAGACCAGAGTCACATAGCACTTTGCGATT